CAGGGAGGCCAAATTAGGCAGATGACTTGGCTCAGGATCTCCAAAATCCATCAGTTTTGTTGCCTCTGATGCCCTCCATACATGGGGTTCCATTCTACCCTTACACAGTTCTTTGAATATCTGCACACGCAAGTTACCAGACATCGGACGCTTGGAACAGCCAGTGTGCAGGGAGTCATCAGTGTTTTTAATTAAACACTTGAGCACCATTGGGCTGTTCATTTCAGGCTCTTTGTCACATTTTATGTGAATATGGCCACGACACTCCTTACAGTTGCCTCTGATTGCAAGTTTTCTGTGCAATAAACATTGACAATCTTAGCTCTCTTGAATGTTGTACCATTATTCTTGAATTTATAACTAATAATATTGTAACTGACAGTTTTAAAACATTTTACTTACATTGGCCAGAAATTTGGTTTAGTAACGACTTTTGTAGTTTGATTTTTATTGACCTTTTCTCAACTAACTATACTAATTTCTACAAGGGCATTCTTGAACAGAAGTGTCACTTGCCCCAAGTGGTGGCAGTGAAGTGTAGAAGATGATACTCCTTGTAAAAAAATTAAAAGTACAATCAGGAGAGATCAGTTAATGAAGTAAAGATAATTGTTTATTGAACAAATTATGTGATGATTACTCTTGACAGAAAGTCTTCGTCAATTCAACTCTAAAAGTGTGTTCACACCGAGAAGATTTGTGCTGTTCTCGTGCCCAGAACTGCTGAAGTTACATAAAACTATGACTTGATGGCACACGCGCACAAATCCATTTTGCCCAGAGAGAAAGTGAGTGACAGAAAAAGAGTCTGACACGAGATGAATATTGAGCTGCTGCATAATGTCTGAACACCAATAAGTTTTTAATAAACACCAGGGACTACAAAAACATTGACAAAAAGTTGTTTGTCTATTAAAACATCTTTACTAGCATCTAACATTTTGGTAAGAGATTGAATAAATGCAAACCCAAAAATAAATTAAAAATAAATCGGGGCTGGTGACGTCATTGCCTGTAATTAAATGTCTAATATCTTAAAAACCTACGCAGCACAAACAAAACTTTAACCAGCACAAACGAAGCACAAACTAACGAGACTATTTTGGGTGAATTTGGAGCATGTGGGGCGGCTGAGTGACCTCCGAATGACCAGAAAAATATGATTGTAATATCTAAAGAACCGAAGCAGCACAAACAAAATTTTCTACAGCACAAACGAAGCACAAACGATTGAGCCTATTTTGCCGACGTTTTGCGTTGGATGGGGGGCCAACTTCACGTAAGTTGAGTTATGAGGTGTTGCTCTGGTACGCATGAGTATGAGGCTTGGGGGGGCACATCCTGCTCACTGAGGGTGTGATCACACTTTGCAGGTCTGGTTTGATTAAAATGCAGTCTGGCGCGATTGCTCCGTGCGGTTCATTTGAATAGGTGTGAAGATGTGAAGTGTGAAGAATAAGTGTGAATGCTGCCATCCAAACCTTGGGGTGCACCAAACAAGCGGACTAAGACCCCTGAAAAAGTGGGTAGTTTGACTGAAATATGAACGCAACAGACCAAAGACATCTGAACGAACCAAAAACAAGATGTGATGTGACGTCACAAGATGCGACCCTAAAAAGGTCTCAAGCATACCTGGTTCTTCTCATCATAGGAGCTACAGTTCGGTACAGGCATCGGAAACACCGTCTCCTTGCAGCAGATCTTTATTTGTGTGCGCAACAGAGGAATTCCTGGTACTATTTTAACTCCTTTACACATTTTATAAGCTCTTAACGAGTTCTCAGCTGGTAAAAATACCAACATATGCACACGTATTTGTAACATATGTAACAAGTGTATTCAGCCCAGCCCAGCACAAAGCATTGGTTTGGATGTTCGGCAGGTTCCGTCGCAAAATATCATAAAATCGTTTTGTATTTATTTTGTGATATTTATGTCTTAAAAATGACAGTGTGAACGCCAAGTGAACCAGGACTAAATGTATCGTTTTTTGGGTTTTTTTTTGGACCAAAAGAACCGAAGTAAAAGTGTGAAAACACCCTAAAACTGCAAAAATAGCATTTCACTGCCATTCCATGAAGTGTGTGACTAATAAACTTTAGAGACAGAGAAGTGTAGGAGTAATTGTGTATAGTACTCATTATATGTTATGGGTATTATGAAATTAAGTTTTGTTCAACAATTAATATTGAGCAGGACTCTTTAGCTAATAGCTTGATGGGCCAAATTCGGCCCATTAATCTTTTTTTATGGCTGACTGAATTAGCTGAAATACTGTAGTTTCATTAATAGAGCATTTTTCTTGTGTGCAAAACTCTGGTTCAAAAGTTCTCATGCATAGATTACATTCCATAACCAAATCAAAGTGATTTTTATTTTATTTTTGGACATAGCTACCCAAGTTTTCCAAACATGAATTACATAAAATACAGTTCATACCAGGCATTTAAAATATAGAAAGATGGAGAATATTTAAAACAAGTGTTTTTTTTTAAATAAATAAAAATAATAAAACTGTAGCGACAACGAGAATGAAACCCACACAAGTGAAGCTGTCATACATAATCAAACACAAGAGGCGGCATATTCCAGATTACCCCGAGGCTATGTAGCCAGAAGACCCTTTGTTGTTTAACTAAAGGAAGGACGTTGTCAATGTTTTATAATTTGGCAAGAACAGATCTGTTCAGAAATGGTGAAACAAGAGGCCCTAACAAGAAGTCACCTGACCCCTGCGACTAAACAGACTGAACCATTCAGCGTCCCGAGCTAGTTTTCCCCTCATCAATTATTATATCTCCTTAAGGCTGAAAAAGTGGACTTGCATACAAAATACCCTTTGTCTTGAAGACCACCATTTGCGAACTAAACCCTCACGTGGTAAACACCACGGATGCGACAAATGCTGACCATAAGGATACACACACACACACACAAGGACTTTCCTCCAATTCTCCAATACCAATAAAACTCATCCCAGAACAATCCTTGACTGACCCATAATCAAAATCATGTAACATAACATAATTATATATTGTGTTTACAACCCCTGTATGTGTCTATTCTGCTTAGATCACATCTAAATCATGTAATTGTTTTGAATATTAGAGATACTGGAATGAAAGTGTCGTGTTTCCTATCATTATGCTCGTATGTTTTTAATTCAAAAGATGGCTCGATTGAAATCTGTGTAAAAATGTTTATGTTCTTAAAATGGAAATTATGTCTAAACTGAATCCTCTGTTTCGAGCTGATGAGTAAGCAGACCACAGAGAACACATGATTCGCGATGAGAGAAGACCCCCCTCTCAAATAAACATATAGTATCTTATTGTCCGAATTCCAAATTCCTCCAGGAGGCGGGACAAACATTTTGAGTTTAAAATCTTAGACCCGAACACAGAATCGTGCTCTTGCCCTCTCCTCTTGCCCTCTCTCTCTTGTGATGCGCTCTTGTGATGCTCTTGTGATGCTCTCTTTCGGCAGAACAAGCCGGGTGGAGCCAACGATGGTTATAGTAACCATGTAGACGCAGAGACAAATGACCCAAATCAAGATATGGGTTAAAACAGATTTAATTCAAGCCATCTCGTCACTTTTCTTTCTTTTCTTAGTTTGTTTTCTTTTCCATTAAAAGTCTCGGTTCTAAGTTAAGTGTTGCTGCAAAGTTTCGTTTTAACGTTTCAACTGCAAAACCAGCTTTCAACTTCAAAGACTTCCATTCATCCGCGCCAACACACCACGTGACTGGCTGTCCAAGATCTATCCAGGCACACGAGAAGATCAGCCAAGCAACGGACCGGGGAACCCCCTTCACGACAAAAGGGAACCCCAAAGCAAGGACAAGCAAGTACCTCCAGACTTTTAACTGAACTGGTGATTTTAATATCAAATTGAATTACCCGCCTAAGACACGATAAAAGGGTGAAATTAATTATTGATGGTTCGTTCAGGTCATGTCTTTTAAGTGCATATAGAAACTTGGGATCTCACCATCTAACTTCTAAAACTCATTCTTCCTCACTCTCTGTCTTTCTTCAACTTGTATGAATGCGTGTGCGTGTGTTTGTGTTATACCAGTTTTATGTGTGTTAGTCATAGGCTTATAATCAATAAAGTATTGTTTGTATTTGAAAAGAGAAGCATTACTTGTGATATGTGCTTACAGATTTATTGTCTTGAACTTCGATCTAAGTTACCTATGCTTTGACCCTTGATTTATTTCTTAATTTAGCTGTTAGCTGGGAATTAATCTTTCTTGGCCAGGAAGATATTATATTTCCTAGAATTAATAATTGTTTATGCTTTCCGTTCATTGGATGAACTGATAAGATGATCATACTATTGATTCTGCTACAGTAAATTCTAAAAATAATTAAATTATTAATTATTGATCATAATCCGTTATGAATAATAATTAATTATATTTATACGTGCGTATAATCGCTACAAAACCATTTGAAATAGTAAACTATTTGACTTGTTAATCGAGGATTTGAAGTTATGCCTGCCACCAGCCAATTTATAACAAGGCCAAATTTTAACTGACTATCCTTTCATTACAATTATTTTAATAAACAAATAATTTTAAGTATATGTTTTTCATGTTAACTTAAAATTCAAGTGTAATTTTTTACCCTCTTCAAATTTGTATTTGAAAAATGTAGCACAGGGGTGTCCAAACTCAGTCCTGGAGGGCCACTGTCCTGCAGAGTTTAGCTCCAACTTGCCTCAACACACCTGACTGGAAGTTTCTAGTATGCCTAGTAAGACCTTGATTAGTTGGTTCTGGTGTGTTTAATTGGGGGTTCAACTCTGCATAAACAGAGAGAAGTAACTCCGGCTACAATGCAATTCTGTTTATTAACCGCTAGAGCACCAAAAGTTACGGACTGCAGCTTTAACCATTTACATTTAGTGATATTAAATGTGTATTTTGTACATAACAACGAAAAGCATACATGCATTTGTGCTTGCACACTCACACCTGTACTTACCCACTACCATGATGTTAAACTCAAAGCCTTGTTTCATAGCTTTCCTCCTCATCTGTTCCAAGATGGCATCAATGCCCACATAGCCAAACTCACTGCTGGTGTTCTCACTCCGTGCCACAGGCGTTTTTCCTACGTCTGCCATATTGCCGTAAATACTTGTAATGACCTCTGGCCCTAATGAAATTGTGAGAGACAGAAAGAAAGACAGAGACAGATCAGGTTAAGATTATTTTGCAAAAACTTTTGGCTTGAACATTTTTCATGTGCATGTGCAGAATAAAGTAGACCCTCTTAGAGCTATTAAAGTTGGTTTGTCTGCGAGCTGCTATGACAAAACATTGCTATTAGAAGTGGCACAATGGCAGCTTGACACAAGCATTATGTCAACGAAATTGACATAATTTGTAGTAATTGACATAAATTGACGAAATTGACATAATGACATTCTGAATGTTACACTGCATTCAGAAGTTTAGTGGTCCACTAGATGTGGGTCAGTTGAACCAAACAGCATTTTTCACTTTGTGTAAAAGTCACATTTAAATGATGCAAATTTTGCTCATATTTTGAATGTAATAGTATGTAAAATGAAAAAAAAGTCTGATTCCTGGTTGCACTGAACGTTGTGCAAAATATTTATGAGCAAACAAATATTGTATTGAATTGATAGGTTTCTGAAAAGAGACCAGATATCAGAACACATGGAAATAAAGTAGGCCAGAAAACCTAAAACAGTTATACAGTTTCCTCAGCTTAACAAGACACACATGTAAACATAAGAGCATACACTCATTATATAGCTATATCAATGTTTTGTGCACTCCAACATTTCTTTTCTAAATTACCATTATATTACCAATGTTTTACAAAACCCCTTTTATCAAGCTCTTAATTCATCAAACCAGAGCAAACTAAATTCTTCTCAAATGATCAACTGATCACCAACTTTACCAAAAGATACCAAAAATGCTGATAACCACAAACTTACCCAGAAGACAAAAGGATAGTCTGCAAAGTTGTTGTATTTGATGATTCAGTAGCTTGAAAAATGTGTGTCTGACAGTGAACAAGTGACACACACTCAACATGTGAGAGTGGGAGGGGACATGATAGCTGCGTTTCCTTTTATAACGACTAAATGTGGCTTCCTCTTTTCATAGAGCGTCTAGACACTTGCACAAAAGCCAATATTTTTCACCAAGAACTAAGAATATACCCCAAAAAATATACCCAAATATGCTAATGGTGATTTCATAAATAAATAACATTTAAATAATATAGTATATCCGAATGATAATGCAAGGTGATATTATTACACAACAGCAAAAAAAAATAAAAAAAAAGTTTAGGCATGTACAAACATAACTTATGAAACTCACTATTGCTTCATCAGACGCCTGAGGTGGAAACTATGAAATCCTGATCTTTGACTTAACCAACACAGTGTATGGTGTAATTTACACATCTGTAAATATCACTAATTATGAAGTATAAGAGTTCAATAAAACACAAAACTGAGAATGGCAATGGCTGTAGCCAAATAGCAGTTATTTTTTGCTTAGTTTTATTATCATTTTGAAAAACAATCTTTATCTATGTTTTATTATTTCACTACCATATGTTTTGAGGTATGATTCATGTCAAGTCAAGTCGTCACCTTCATTTATAAAGCGATTTTAACAGTATGGAGTGTTTCAAAGCAGCTTTACAGTTATAACAGAAAAAAACTTAACAGATTGTTTAGGCAGATTAGGATACATTTATTGTCCAGCTAAAGATTTGATTGATTCACTTCCGTTGCGAAGATCATTAGTTATTAACTTAGAATGGTGTCGCTAACACGACACCATTCTAACAGAAAAACTGTTAGGGTTAGGGTTAGGGTTAGGCACCATTCTAACAAAAAAAAAACATTCTATCCGCACAAAACAGTGCCTGGTGTCTCGAGAACGCACTCCCAGAAATACTAAAGTCAAAACTATTAGTCAAATGCAAAACTGGTTTTGCATGTGTTCCTCTGTGGCTTATGTACAGTATTAAAACATTGAAAAAATTATTTCCTGTCAGTGAGTTACACACACTACTTCACAGAGTCTTTTTTAAGAAAACAGAGAGTGGCAGGCCTGAAAGTTTAACCTAAAACACTAGACAGTTATCGAACCACAAGCAGCCATGTTTTGTCCAGAGAATTTAACCTATGCCATTAAAGTGTGAGACAGAGAATTAACAAACATGCTGTGTGCTCATGTGCTTCTATGTCTTACTCATTATTCAAATTAGAAACATGTTATAGACAGTGGTCACCATAAGGTGACTGCTGGGGTCTCTCACACTATATACTCACTCAATCTTATTTTTCACTTTTCCTTTTATAACAAATCCTGAATAATCGTTCTATAAAACCCCTCACTGTAAATGTGTGATTTCATATCTAGATTTGGCCACCTGTTCAGGAAAATCTTTTATAAGTCCCAATTTAGACTCATACACACACATGTTTTTCACAAATGAATGCAACTTAGAGGCATATTGGCATAACATAACAAGAGGCAAGAGCAGAATCAGGCAAACTACACCCCTCAGGCTCCAGCTTCATTTCAGCCTCTGGCTCCAAACACTGTGTGATTAATGCAGTCTTTCATATTGTGTGGAGTTTTGGCAAAACTCCTAAAGCCAATTAAAATAAAATGATAGGTCTAGGTAAACCTAACCCATCAACGAGGTTCAGCATTGAGGCCTAGAACTTTCCATTTGCCTCAGGGAAGCCTCATGATTTACTGTGACCTATATTTTTCATATGTTAACCCAATAGTCAATCACATGTGAAATCCACACTTCAAACTTGAGTGAACCACAGTTTTTAATGCCAAAATGGAATGTTATCCATGTAAGTTTAGCCTGTAGTTTTGAGAAGACAGAGGGAAAATCTACTATGTAAACTGCATGTTCGGAGTATGCCAAATAGTTATTACTGTATTTAGGGCAAGATTTTTGCTGACTTGATTTTTGCTGGATTGTTGAGTGATCACAACATGTGGTCATGTTAATTATGGTTTAATACACAGACCAACCATAATTTGTGCCATTGATTACATAACTACGCTGCCCTGCGAGTAGGTGATGCCAGCACCTGTTGTTTGCCATCTGCTAAGAAACAAAATGAGGCATGAATAGAAAAGGGGGCAGTGACACAGGCACACAAACTATGATTTAAAATACTGTAAATCAATCTCAATTATAGTTCCTCTTTTGGTTAGCCTCATTTAAAATGTGAAGAGCTAAATTCCATATCACTGTCAAAAACAATGGATTATCTAGAGCAGTGGTTATCTAACTGTCCAGGCACTTTAGCAACATACTGTACACAATGCCATATTTTAATAAACATCAATATTACTGTATTTCAGACAAATGATGCTACTATAAGATATTGTCTCATCAGTCCTGATTTATCCTTTGCAGATCTGTGAAAGAGCCTTTTCAGAATCTAAACACAAACCATATACGATTGTAAGATTTAGAATTTAATCTAATTCAAACAAATCACCTAGGAATTTTTTTTAGATTTTTTTAACCTAAGACTCATCAAATCTCATCAAATGAAGGCTCAGTAAGCATGAAATACTGTATGTGGATTGTAACTGCACAGAAATATCAAATAATGCACTAAAACACTAAAAGTGGCCTCTTAAAGGTGCAGTGTGTGATTTTTAGCGACATCTAGCGGTTCGGTTGCGAGTTTACACTAAGAGCTCAGCCCACCGCTCACCCCTCCCTTTCGAAGAAGCTACGGTGGCTAAAACGGGACAAACTTCGTCGTCTGAGACAGCAGAGAATAGCCAGCGTAAACCAAGTTTCTGTACCACAGTCCATTATAAACCACATCATGGATAAAGTTTCAGGTGAGGATCAAGGGTCTTAATACATAATATAATAATAGTAATCAGCTGATTGTCTCATGAACGTAACCAGCACATTCTCCCCACATAGCAAACCCATAATACAGCGAGGGAGAAGAACCACATGAAACTATGCAACTATATATTTTTTCTAACAGGGTAGTAAAAGTTTAGCTGGCTAATAAGAGCTGTTACTGTGGCTGACCTGGTTAAAGCGTAAAGCCTTGTTTAAACTCGACGCGTCCGCATGAGCCCAAAGGTGCGTGCGGCAAAAATGACGTGATTGTAACAGCGCGCGCGCCTCCGCATCCCCTAGACACCACTTACTACACACAATAGGCTTTTTTTCTCTGATTTTAGAAACTCAATCGACTTAAAATGCTTCCAAGATCGACGGGTTGGTGATTCCTGTAACTGTTTTACGGTCAATGACAAGAGTAGCCTACTAATCAGCTGTCTCACGAACTTAACCAGCACATTTATCCCCACATAGCAAAGCCATAACACAGCGAGGGAGAAGAATTAAGTTACATGAAACAATCCAACTACATATTTACACCACTGACAAGGGAAAAGTCACTACTCACGGTGTTTATGACTAGCTTCTTCTAGCTTCCTGCGGCTTTTCTTTCAAGGTAGTGACGAAACGCGCTCTGTAGCGCTGTTTGTTCGCGTTCGGCTACTGTAGAAACATGACGTCACAATATGGCGACCTTCATAGAAGGGGATTCCCGCGCCTATGTAGATATAAATGCCTCATTCTAAGGTAATAAAAACATTACGGTTTAGTAAGTAAGTTCTTTATACACCACTGAACACATAGTTATTGATGTCATATTGCATTTCTGTTAATAGATACTCAAAAATGTTACACATTGCACCTTTAAAAGGAACATAATTTTGTAGATGTTACAAAAACTTTCTCCTTTCCTAGCTTAATATGCAGAGAAACTATATAAACATTTTGTAGGTTGGTTGCTATTCAAAAAATAATACTAAAATGAACCAAATTACAAAAATGAATTAGCATATGAAAAATCTTACTTACTTCTTACTACATAGCCTAGAAATTGATTTACCGGCCAACAAAAGACTTAAGGTGCAGCATGTAATTTTTTGACTGTACTAAAGCATAAAACTACCATAACATGTATGCAAGTTCACATACTTGTGTAACGTGCGTGAGTTATCCTCTGCTTTTAGTTCTTACCCAGCGCTGTTCCGTGGGTTCTTGGCCTCGTTCTGTTATCACCACAATAGGGAGGGCACTGACAA